ATTGCCTGCCGGGCAGCCCCGCAGGGCCAGCAGGGCACGCTCTGCCCCGGCCGCCCGGCGCTGGAATGCACGTTTCCCTCCACGCCGCCTCGGGGAAACAGGCAGGCGTGGGATAATAGAATATATTAGCCCTGAGCCCATTCAGCCCCGGGCTCTTTACGAACAATGCCTGCTAACTGAGCTGATTTTTGCCAAATGACTGGCTTTCGTGCATGAGCAGCAAAGTGGAGCCCCCAAATAGTCCCATGCAACAATCCGGCAAGCGCTGTTGCCCAGGGCCCATTGTTTTACTGCTGCATTTGGGGGCATGGAGGAGTCATGGCCTTGCCTGCCCTGGCATTTCTTTCCCGGTTTCCCACCGCTGCGCTGGCCCCGTCTCAGCCCCAACGGAGGCAGCAGCGATGGGGGAGCTGAGACCGGCCGGCCACAGGCATCCACTGCCCCTGCCCCAAACAGGGCAACATGAAACCCACCGGCGGCTGCTCCGCGCCAGGGCTCGCTCTGCCCCTCGGTGCCCGTGCCCCTGCCAAGGGGGAGACGGAAAGCGCTGGTGGAGGCAGCCCCACGTCCCCGTACGGGGAGCCCACTGTGCCACCCCAGCAGTGCCGCGTGGGTCCTGTGCCACCTCCTGCAGCAGGGCAGCTCCTGGACACCCCCAGGGAGTATTTGCTTTAGATTAGACACCCCCTCGGCCAGCTGAGGGCCGCCAGCCCCCGCCGGGGTCAGCCTGCCGAGGAGGATGTTAGTTTTGCTGTGTTTGTTTTCTGGTTTTCTCAGCGGATAGCTCCGAGGTTCCAATAACACCGATGCAGCCAGGAACGCTCCCTCGCCCCACGACACGGGAAACTGCGCGGGGAGGTTTTGCAGCTGTGGCGACCTGCTCCGCCGCCCCGGGCTGGCGCTCGGCACCGCCTGGGATGCAGAGGACGCTTGCACCAAGAGCCAGCCCGCAGCAGGGCCGGGATCAGGGCACGCAACAGTTCCAGCCAATGTCTCCTGTTAGTGTGAAATTAGCACCATTAAATGCTATAACTAAACACAATCAGCAAAGGGTTTACTAGCTGAGATAACATATAAAGAACTACAACAGCTAACGCCTTCAGCACTGCTGAAACTCTGACCGTCTGCCCCTAGTCCCAGGAGGGAACTGATGGCAAATATTTACAGGGGCTTATAAATATTTATCCTGTAATAACTTGCTGCATTACAGCACATTCTTCTCTA